AATAAAACCAAATTAGCCACGCAAGGGAGCTACTTCTATGCTACACAAGCAAGAAGGTAATTAGCTAGCTACACAAGCTATCTAATTACAAGAGCAACTACACAAGCTTAAGATATATATATAAGTAATTGCAAGCTTGTGTAATGGGGATGCAAACCAACGGAAAGAACAAGGTTGACACGATGATTTTTCTCCCGAGGTTCACGTGTGTAAGGTTGAGATGGCGGACTAGAGGGGGGGTGAATAGTCTTTTCTAAAATTAATCGCGTCGGCTAACCGATATAAATGCGGAATTAAAACAATCGGTCTAGCCAAGACTACACCCCTCTATATATGTTCACTAGCACCTTGTAAAGATACTAATAAAGCAACTAAGGTGCCGGGCTAGCTAGAGCTCTCCTAAACAATTCTAGGAGCAAGGTCACACAAACCTATGCCACTAGTACTTTAAGTAACAAGGGAGCTCCTACACATGCTAGTAAGCAAAAGCACAAAGCTAACTAAGCTCACTAGCAATGCTCAATAACAAGGCAACCAACGCCTAATTAGAGAGCGCAAATACTTAGCTACACAAACTAAGCAATGTGACTAACAAGGTAACTAAAATCAAATTAGCCACGCAAGGGAGCTACTTCTATGCTACACAAGAAGAAGGTAATTAGCTAGCTACACAAGCTATCTAATTACAAGAGCAACTTCACAAGCTTAAGATATATATATAAGTAATTGCAAGCTTGTGTAATGGGGATGCAAACCAACGGGAAGAACAAGGTTGACACGATGATTTTTCTCCCGAGGTTCACGTGTTTGCCAACACGCTAGTCCCCTGTTGTGTCGATCGCTCACTTGGTGGTTCGGCGGCTAATTAGTATCACCCGCTAAGCCCGCACGTCCCGGGCGCCAGAAGAACCTACCCTTGAGTGAGGGTAGCTCAATGACACGCTTTACTAGAGTTGCTCTTTTCATGCGGCTCATGGGCGCAGCACAAGTACCCCTCACAAGCACTTCTCCGGAGCGCCGCACAAGCTTCTTCTTGCGCTTCGACGGAGACCACCACTGCCGCCTAGGAGGTGGCAACCTCCAAGAGTAACAAGCACCACCGGCTTGCAACACGACCACCTAGTGCCACTCGATGCAACCTCACGATGCAATCGCACTAGAATCGCTCACTCACACAATCGAATGATCACTATCAAGTATATGTGTGATGGAGGGCTCTCAAGTACTCACAAGCATGGACACTAAGTCCCTTGAGGTGCTCAGCACCAGCCATGCCCGAAGGCCACTTCTATTTATAGCCCCAAGGGCTAAACTAGCCGTTACCCCTTCACTGGGCAACGGTAGGGCCGACCGGACGCTCCGATCGTGTTGACCGGACGCTGGACCTCGGCGTCGATCGCCCTTGCAGACGCAACCACGTGTCTCGGTTCCCAACGGTCACTTGACTTGACCAGACACAGCAGCTTTCAACTGACCGGACGCTGAACCCCCAGCGTCCGGTCGTTTCCAGTAAGGTACCGACCTCGACCGGACGCGTCCGGTCACACTTGATCGGACGCAGCCAGCGTCCGGTCACACTCCAGCTTCTCGTCGCCGTCATCGTCGACTGGCCGGGCCGGACGCACCGGCCAAATAACGGTGCAGTATTCAGATCCGGCGTCCGGTCAGTTGACCGACGCCAAAGATCTTCGCGACTAACTCGTTTTCACTTCTAACTTCATCACCCTTGCTCCAATGTGCTAACCACAAGAACTTGCATCCGCCAAAATAGAAAATAGGCATTCTATTTTCCGAAAGGTTAATCCCGCCGAAACAAGCTTCGGCGGGAGAGAGAGAGGACCCAAACCCATCTCACCCCTACAAACACCACCTCCTTTGTAAATGTGCCAACACCACCAAGTGTACACCACCATGTGTATGTGTGTTAGCATTTTCACAATCATTTCCCAAAGGATGTTAGCCACTCAACTTGCCACGCCACTCGAACCTAGCGATAATGCAAAGTTAGATCACTCGAGTGGCACTAGATGACCGATATGCAAACAAGTTTGCCCCTCTTGATAGTACGGCCATCTATCCTAAACCCGGTCATAAACTTCTCTACACACCTATGACCGGTGAAATGAAATGCCCTAGGTTATACCTTTGCCTTGCGCATTCCATTCCATCTCCTCCAATGTCGATGCAACACATGCACCAACACGATCAACAATGATATGATCCACTTCGTATCATCACGTGTTCATATTGGTTCATCGATCTTGACTTCACTTGCCCTTCACCGTTGCCATCGTCCATCGGCGCCAAGTCTTGCTCAAGCTTCACCGCCACGCGGTCCATCACTCCAAAGCCTTCGACTTGCCCTTCACGCTTGCAACCGGTCCATCAAGCCAAGTCTTGTCTTGATCTTCTCCACCTTGATCACATGACTCAATGTCATGTCTCATGTGCAATAAGCTCCTTCATCATCACATGTGTGAGCTTTGCAACATCTCCAAGCCATTTTCACCTCCATGGCATATGTTGCTCATACACATGTACTAAGGATAATCAAATTATGATTACTAAAGTGAACAGTGCTAAGGATAATGCGAAGTCCACAAGACACGTTAAAAGACGTTTGAAGACTGTCAGGAAGTTGAGAAACTCTAGAGTAATAGTTGTGGCCTATGTGCAAACAGATAAAAACCTGGTAGATCCCTTTACAAAAGGGCTATCACGGAATGTGATAGAAAATGCATCAAGGAAAATGGGTATGAGACCCATGTGAGTTTACGGTAGTAGTAACCCAACCTTTTTTATCGGAGATCCCGTGACTAAGGATCTAGGAAGAACAAGCTATTGGTAAACTGAGGAGAGTAAACTATAACCCTCTCTATGTGAAGATGCAATACTCTCAAAGCAATGATGCACTGTATGGTAGGTTGGCGAATGTCTTAATGTGTTCTATTGGCTTTAACAAGCGAAGATGCTGTCCTGCAGAGCATTCTTTAAAGAACATATCTATATGAGCCTGACTATATAATGTCGCAGTCTATGAGACTTAGGTGATCTCTAGTAAGCTCGTGAAGAGACCATGGAGTACGACGTATATGCTCCACCCATGGGGAAGGCTACTGGCAGCTAGGTACTAGTTTGACTTTGAGTAAAACTCGTTCGCACAAAACTTACAATTCAAGGCATAGTCCATTGTTCAAGTTGTGGATGGGTGTAACTTAAAGCTCTAGACGGATGTTCAACTTAACAGTCTCTGCTGAAACACTAGTATATAAACAATAGTGGGAGAAGAATAATATCTATACTAGGCAGTTGAGATCTAGTGGGGGATTGTTAGAATTTATATGGATAGTTCCCCTAAATTCATAAGAAGAAATTCTAATAAATCTCAAAGGCCCAATACTTATGTTCCCTAATGGGCTTTAATGTTTAAGCACATGAGTATAGATGGGAGGTACAACATTAATTAGTAACATATTACTAGTTGATGTGGAGGTAGAGGTTCTCATCGTTATATATATGTACCAATCCTCCTCGAAAAAGACACACCAAAAAACTACTAATGGGAGTTCTAGTTTGGAAAATCCAAAGGTAGTAAATTTGTATTTTTTTCTCTTCTTGCTGCTGCGTTGTCGCCGTAGGCCTCATTCGGCTGGTCTGAAGTTTGCCTTGTTCGGCTTCTTTTTTCAGCCGGAACAGTGTTTTTCTCTCACACCATTTCAGCCAGGACAGTGTTTTTCAGCCAGTTTCAGCCAAGTTTCAGACCAGCGAATGGGGCCTAGTCTCTCCATCTCGGTGTCTGCGTGTATCGACGTTCGGGGGAGCAGGTCTCCGGAACCCTCGTCCTTATGATCCTGCACCGGGAGAGGACGTATAAGGTTTTTGGGAAGCGCTCGTCGCGCGACTGCTCGCGACTTTGTCGACGGGTCGTCTTCCATCCAAGTCAGGCGGTGCTACATCCCGACATATTCGTCGTCAGCTGCTTCGAGCTCTTCCTTCACCACTCATCGACGACTTAGTACCACCACCACCACTGTCTCCCTCTGCAACATCTTCACCGGCGACACCATTTTCTTCTACAAACAAAAGAGACACACCACGTGACCAATCTATTATTGTCGTTCGTCTACTGTATTGATCATGATGATCTTAGCTACGTTGCTAGCTATGTTGCTATTAATGCTGCCTGATTTAACTAGTATGTTAGAGATCTGCTAGTTTATGAAATTGTCATGGTTTGTATTATGCTATTAATCTGAAAATTAATCAGAAATTGCCTAGACTGATGCTCCCGCTTACCACTTACTCCTCCTAGAGCCTTTTCTTTTTTCTTTTTAAAAGTTAAAAAGAGCCTTTTTGTTTGCCACGTGGCAAGTAGATCACAGGACCAATGCCGTCCTTCTAGAAACTCTTGCCGATTCAAAGGAGCAGCAGGGTTCACTCTCGCCCACCAAGCAGGCAGACACGTACTGTACGGTTGAAAACACAAGGCGACTGATGATAACAAGGAAAGGCGCGGCAAGATAAAAAAAAAACGCAGAGATTCAGTAGAATTAATTGCTCTACTTCTGAATTTAGTTGGATTACGCGTAGAGTTGGGGGCTTGGGGATAAGGCGTAGACTGAGACATGGGGTGCCCCCGCGTGCCGCGACATCCACGTCTCGTGGCCAGGGGGCGACGCGGTTTGGCGATCTTCCCCGAAGCTTCCTCCGGCGCTCCCGGCCCCCGTCCTGCTTGCCAACTGACGCCGAACGCACACGATGACACGGCGCGCTCGAGTCAGCAGTCACACAATCACAATCACCATCGCCACGGGTACGAGACGAGACGCACCACCCACCCACCGAAGCGGCGATAAAACCGCCCTCGGCACACGCGGCGGCACCTCCCCACTTGCACTTGGCTGGAGCTTCTCCTTTTTCCATTGCTCTGCTTCGCGTCTCCCTCCCTCCTTGCCTCCGCCTAACACAGCAGCGCAGGAACACAGAGAGCGATCGAGGCCATGGAGGGCTACGACCGCGAGTTCTGGCAGTTCAGCGACACGCTGCGCCTGCAGACGGCCGCCTTCTCGGGCCTCTCCCTCGGCGACTCCATCTGGTCCCCCGCCACCGCCGACCGGCGCAACAACAACAACGACCTATTCGCCGCCTCCGCGTCGCCCGCCGACGCCGCCGCCAAGAACAACGGCCTCGTCGGCCTCAAACTCAACGATGGCGGACCGGGCCTCATCGGCTCCGGGAAGCTCGCCTTCGGCGGCGGCAAGGCCGACCGCTACAACAACCTCCCCACCACCGAGAAGGCCGCGTCCGTGTACAACAACAACAACGGCGGCGGCTACGCCAAGAACAACAACAACAACGCCCTGGCGTTCAGCAAGATGGGGAGCTACGGCTACACCAGCAACGGCAACAACAGCAGCGGGGAGGTGAAGAGCTACTTCAACAAGTCCGCCGGGAGGGCGGCGAGCAACAACAGCCACGGGCACGCCGGCGGCAAGAAGGGCGGGGAGTACGGCAAGAAGAAGCACGCCAAGAACGAGGGCAACAACTGGGGTGGCGCGGCGGCCACGGACAAGCGGTTCAAGACGCTGCCGGCGTCGGAGGCGCTGCCGCGGGGCCAGGCCATCGGTGGGTACATCTTCGTCTGCAACAACGACACCATGGACGAGAACCTCAGGAGGGAGCTCTTCGGTGAGTCACTGATCGCTGGGCTGGCTGGGCTGACCAGCCCCTCACATGAGTACTGTTCACACGAACCAGCCAGCACTACTCTTTCGTATAAACGAACCAACAACGATACGAACCAGCCAACCAAATAAATAGCATCTTAGTACTACTCTCTCTTACGTAAACGAACCAATAAACGAACCAGCCAACCGAATGAATAGCATCTCTCTCTATTTCAGTGAAAAAAATAGGAAAACTGAAAAGGAGCAATATTTGTTCATATCTATGAACTTGTTGATTGATGTTGATGATGATAAACACCAGCAGCATGCTGATTAGTGGTGTTGTGTTTGATGGATGGATGCAGGGCTGCCGTCGAGGTACAGGGACTCGGTGCGGGCCATCCGCCCAGGGCTGCCTCTTTTCCTCTACAACTACTCCACCCACCAGCTCCACGGCATCTTCGAGGTACTCCTACACTACAGTAGCCAATTCGTGATCCCCTTTCTCGCTTCTTCATCTGTCCTTAGTTGTACCGTACCGTACTCATGGATCCGATTCGATTCCGATCACCAGGCCGCGAGCTTCGGCGGGACCAACATCGACCCGGCGGCGTGGGAGGACAAGAAGTGCCCCGGCGAGTCGCGCTTCCCTGCACAGGTACCTATCTGCTTCATTCAATCCAGTCCTCTTGTCATGGCGGATGATCGATCAGCTCAGCCACTAGCGTGACTTTTTCACTTGTTTGAGTGGTTCAACAACACCAAACAGTACATTACCGACAGACGAAGGCTAGCCGCTAGCGTAGCGACCCATAACCCATTCACTTCACATGTGGCGACGACGTGTGGAATCGCAAAAGATTAGAGGCCCCGGGATAAATTTGTCTACAATCGCCGTGTGTAACCAAACGGACTCGTTATTAGTTTATGCCATGAGCGAAAGTATTTTTAGCTAATTTTTTGTTTGAAAAAAAATATTATTCATCGATCGAAAAAGTACGGCCAAGCACACAGCTTGGACAGTCAGCGGAGAGGTTTGGTGACTTTAGGTCAGCTTGCTTGGTTCCTAGGTTGCTTGGCCAGCCGGCAGAGGATCGATCTGGTCGCAGGGCGTCAGAGCATCTAGATGCTGCAACTGCAAGCGGTGTGAGGATGTCACCTGTAGCTGTAGCCTGTATTCCATCTCATCTACTAGGACTCTATAGGAGTAGTAGTTGTTGTTGCCCAAGTGGTGACGCATGGTGCTTGTGATGTGCAGGTGCGGGTGGCAACGCGGAAGATCTACGACCCACTGGAGGAGGACGCCTTCCGTCCCATCCTCCACCACTACGACGGACCCAAGTTCAGGCTGGAGCTCTCCGTCGCCGAGGCCCTCGCCCTCCTCGACATCTTCGCCGACAAGGACGACGCCTGATCCTGATCCTGATCGGATCGTCAGGCACTCAGGCTTGGAATTTGGATGAATGAATAATGGATGGACTTGTGGAGTAGTATATTAATAATAATTAATATAATATATCCACCTTTGTTTGATATTAAGGGCTATGTATGAGGCACGCGTCCCATTGTTTTTTTTTATATAACACTTGTGCGATGATTGCACAGGACTAGCCCTCGTGTTTTGTAAGACAAAACTCGTACTAAGATATCTGTATTATTCAGGTCCAACTGACATGTATAAACCATCTGTGAAATGATCTGTTCTTGTGCTGTACTACAACTGAACGTAAGGAACGGTCTTTGTTACTCTGTTCAAGCACCAGACGTGTTTCTATTGGATTAGAATTTTGTCCCTGGCGACAATTACAATGCGCACCTCGGCTAGTATAACAACACTGTCTGAATGCTCCAGATTCGAAAGCATCAGCTACCTGCCAGACCATGACTCACTCCAGACAGTACAGCAGAAACCATTGAGCTTTCAACCGATTCTAGAAGAGAATTGATCAACTCGCAGCGTCTGGAAGCAGATAAAGTAGCTGCACAAAGTACGTCGAAGAACATCACAGTTAGCACCAGATAAATCGAGTCAGCCGCGGCCCACAGGGCCCATAATCTTCCATTCACCGATTTAAGTTTTAATAACACCTAAAACACATTTGTACAAAACTGCGGAATGGAGATCCAGAGGAGTAATATCAACAGCAGATCCACAACGGAGAAAAAAGGGTGGGGGAAGGAAATCTCTCCTCAAATACATCCTGACAATCTATCTCCGGTCAAGAAGCATACCACATCAAACATTCACCACCGAATTTTCTTCCCAAAGGTTTCTTCTTGCTTTTCTTCTCCTCCAGCTTCAACCAAACATATTATGCGGAGCAGGGTCAGCCATGAGCGAGCTGTGGTGATGGACCATATACCACCTGCCGTTCCAGAGCTCGTACACGTTGGTCACATGGAACAGCACAGGGTCAACGTCAACATTCGCCTTCATGTTGACCCATGCCACCTCATCGAGCACACGGACACGGACATCCCTTATCTGGAAGGCAATGCCCTGCCCTCCATCTTGGCCCCAGTTGAATAGCAGGCCCCAGCTCTCCATCACTGCGTTGTATCTGAGAAAGAACGGAAATGGATTAGCATCTATGACACAAGTAAGGCCTGTTAGATAACGCCTCTTCAACCGTTCGATTAGAAAATCAATACTCATAAGGGGAATAAAATAAAAAAGGCTTTTTACAATTTCAATACAAACATTCATCCCAAATACAAAACAACAATACTGAAGGTGTTAGCATCTATGACCTGACACACCAAGCCTATAGTCGATGGATTTAGTTCTATACTTATATGGTATGGTTAGCTGGTTAATTAAAGCTACTACAAGACAGCAACCAATGGGTCCTGATACTGCCAACGCATACAAATTTTAGTTCAGTTCTCACAAAAGAAACGGATATTTCAATGAGCACATCTTCATTTATGTTCACAGGTACAAAGGTTATTCAAAAGTGTACTTCATAAGATGAAAACTACATGTGTGCACACTGTTTTAAAAGGCAATCCCCCTAGCCCTCCTAATAAGTGACGAGACGCTAGATAACCTTCAGCTGCCCATGTAGCATCTAGTGATTTTTCAGACATTTGTGTGTATAACTAGAAACTAGCACTTTTGTCAAAAAAAGATAAATAAATCCAACCGATCTTCAGCATAGTTGCAAGATCTCAACAGTTGGAGCTACTAGAAGGACAAGCAAAAAGGAAAGAACAAAAATTGAATACGGAGAAACTCTGAGGATAGAAATAACAGAATGGCAGAAATTGGCATACCTATGCATAGGTGTGACTGTCTAATAGTATTATATATTAATAAATTATACAAATAACTAGACTTCACAAGTCACAAGCTATTTCTCATGGATATGGCCACAACTCTATGGTATGGAAGCCTTAAAAAAACTTCTACTCTAGCCATGGTCTTATATGTTGTGTCTAAGCAAGCATACTTCATAGTGTGTATGTGAGCCATGGTCTTATATGCTGTGTCAGCAAGGACGGTTCATAGTAGGCGTGATTGGTTGGACGTTTCCAGCCGGCACAGGCCAGTGAGATGCAGCTCCATAGCGATTGGTTCGCTGCACAACACGTGCCAGAGCCTGGCCTGCGGCATGCAGCAAGCCCTGCCAAGCCTGGCCGTGGGGAAACGAGAACCGATTCCGTTTCCTCTGAGCCTGGCCCGTGGGGGTGTGAGCGTGCACTGTGACTCTGCGAGAAAGAACCGGTGCAGCTACAAGCCAGAAAGTAGGCAACCAAACAACAGATGTGTTCATCTAGTATGTACTAATACAGTCAACCAAACAAAATGACGTTGCACACAACAGGCCTGTCCTAGCTCAGCCAGGCTCATAGGAGCGAGCCAGGTTCACCTCGGCACCAAACCAATCAGGCCCATTGTGTATGCATTTTTTTCTGAAGAACTATCAGCAGAGCTTGATTTAGTAAAAGAAACAAAATTAATAGTTATAGTAATGCATTGGTGTGTCACTGTCTATATAACAAAAAAAATCATGTGTTGACTCAAAACTTATCTGCTTCTCCACCAATGATTCATAGTGTGTATGTTAGCCTTGTCTCATATGCTGTGTCTAAGCAACCACGATTCATAGTGTGTATTTGTTTTTTTCTGAAGAACTATCAGCAGAGCTTAAAGTTTGTAGAAGAAACAAAATTAATCATTACAATAATGCATTGATATGTGTGTATATACCAAATAATTCAAGTGTTGACTCAAAATTTCTCTGCTTCTCCACCAATGCAATGCAAGGATACCTGTCGGTGTCTCTCTAACAGGTATCAAATTGTATCAAACAAAATTTACTTCACATTGACCTAACATATGCAACGAGTTAAAATTAATTTGCTAAGAACCTTATAGCATACTCCATCCATTTCGCAATGTGTCCATGGCCACCCATTGGGCACAGAACAAGGAAACCTAACATCTATGCAAACGAAGCAATAGATCAGCCACAACTAGGTGCACACCCCTTGGAAGATACAAGTCAACATGTAAGTCTGTACATGCATTGGTTATTCCCTTCCAAATAAACACCTTGCATTTAAAGTCAACAACATCGATCACCAACTTGCCTGAATTGCAATGAAAATGGCTTAGTCGACTTGTAAATAAACCATAGGCCCGCAAAGCAGAAGGATTAGAAACCAGAGAATAATTAGAACTTTGAATCGATCGCAGTGAAGTCAAGACAAGACATACCCAGTGCAGAACTCCCCAGTTGCATGAATACACTTGACATAATCTGCATTAAGCCAAAAACGGCTCATTGCTGGCAAGGACCCTTCCCTGATGATATTGTAGAACTCTGCATTAAGGTTAATGATGGCTTTTGTAGCTGCATAGTATGCCTTCCATCCATTAGGAGGATTTATAGTACCCTGCTCCACCGTAAAATCCTGCAAGAGTTGATTTATTAGATTAAAAGGATGCAAAACAAAGTCAGAAATTATTATTAAAAAAATCTTTCATCATAACCACAGGAATTGCCTTTTTAAACAGTCAAAATACACAACTTCACAGTCACATCAAGGAGGGGAACAAAAGGAGAAATTCAACAAGTTACATCAATAACTTCTTATCCAATTAAAAGGTCATGTAAATTCAAATGGAACACAGAAAACTAACCCATAAGTTAAGTTGTGCAGAGAGTTAGAAGGGACGACTGTATGATAAACAAACACAGTATTATGATTTGCGGGCAGCCTAAAAACCCGGCAAACAAGGGTACATCCGTACATGTACACAACACAAACTTTCTTGCTTGTCATAGGCAGTCACATGCCTATCAACATGGGAAGATTGTGAAAACACCAGGAAAGATTCAGAAACTGAAACAAGGTGAAGTCCTTCACATCATATCTGGGTAACTTCCCTTCAGTTCAGAAATGGAAGTAGATGCCATGGCAAAGTTCAGGCCATCCCGTGTGTCCGATGAGAGCTATGGACGTTCGCAACGGCTTACCAAAAATTTCAGTTGCTGAGAGTAGGGATGAAAACGACCGGAAAGAGTCGGTTCCGATATTTACTATGCAGAAACGATTCACGGTCGGTCGGAAACTCACCATATTTTCATTTTAACTATTTATTAACGGCATAAGAAATTAAAAAATCAAAAGTTGAAATAAGGTAATGGTTGAAAACCATCATAAAAGATATCACTATTTCGGAAATGAGTCCCGATAAACAAAATCTTCCATTCTCACTTTCATCCCAAACTTAGAGAAATCCATATGGATTCCGGATAGAATAACCGTACAAAGAAAATATACTATCCACATGAGCTTTTGAATTAGGTCGTTCCATATCCCAACCCCTATCCTACCCTCGGACCTGTTCGCTTGGCTGATAAGCCAAGCTGAAAAGAACTTGTGGTTGATTCGTTGCGAAAGAAAAACACTGTTCGTTCGCTGAAAAAGTATGGCTCATAAGATAACGATACAATTGTATGCACCAGCAGAAAGGTAATACACCCAAACCTCAAGACAGTGATGGTCCATTTACAATGGAAACAAGCAGGGACGGATAAACTACATTGCCAATCAGACAGTAGAGCAGTCAAGGGGAAGTTCAGGGAGGGTTGTGGGCGCATCAGGCCCAGCAGCACACCTTGTGGTACAGTGACTTCCAGGCGCCGTCGTCGTTGGCCGCGCGGCGCATGGCGGAGTTGGTCATGGAGAGACGGCAGAGGCTGGTGTAGTCGAGGTAGCTGAGCGCGTGGGTGGTGATCTCGGGCACGAGCTGCTCCATCATGGAGGGCGCCTCCGGCGGAGCCGGCTCCGACGCCTTCTTCTTGTTCTCCCCGCCCACAGCCATGTCGCCGTTGGCGGACTTGGCGTCGCGGCAGCCGCAGGAAGCGCAGCCGCAGCAGTTGGCGGGAGGGGATCGGTGCTTCTCTGAGGATGCGGGGGAGGAGGAGGAAGAGGAGTGGAAGACCCAGAAGGCGCAGGCGAGGCAGCAGACGGCGGTGGCACCGGCGGCGATCAGGACTCAGGCGCCGTCCATGCGGATGCGGATATCCAGGTCGCGGGGCGACGGCGGCGGAGGAAGAAGAGGAGGTCAGGGTGTGGAGGTAGGGTTTGGACGGCATCCCATCACACGGAAGAGGAGGCTAGGGTTTTGTCGTTTGGGTTGGGAGGAGACCGAGATGGGGAATGAATGAGCACGGAGCACGCGGGTGGGGGGTGTTCTGGTTTCCGTTTCGGATCGAGGAAGACGAACAGAGAATGGATGCGATGCCACTTATGAACGGGTTTGAGTTGGGCTTGGGCACCGTCACCGTGGACGCAATCGCCGGATCGGCGTTCGGTTCTGGGAAATCGTCGCATTCGGCGTTACGGTGGAGGGTGACCGTAGATGTCGACTTAGGTAGCGAGCTAGTAGTATGTTACTGGCAACTCTAGCAATGTCTTTACTTTCAATCCCTGTATATGAAATCTTTAGGGGTTTTTTTTGTCAGCACTGTTCATCTCACTATATTTTAAGGTGCGTTTAATTAGTGTTCGGTTGGCGGACGAGTTAAATATGGAATATTCTTCTAGACGTTGGATATCTTGAAAAAAAATTGTCTGGTTTTCTAATCTATGTAATTAGTAAATAATTAAGGATTATTAGTATGTTATATTACTATTTAGTAATTATGATGGCAAAATAATTTTAATAAGTGCTAATATGTTGATTAGTGCATGTTTTGTATGCCAATTAGGATAATAATTGTGCTAATTAGCATATTTTTGTAATTAGTGACTATAGCATGACAAGATTAGTGTTAATACATATTATTAGTGTATAATTAGCTATTTTTAAAATGATATAAATACAATTAGTCAAGTATTCTTATCTCATCTGCTCTCATCCATCTAACCAAATGGAAAAAATGACTCTTTCCCTATCAATCCAACCAAACAAGCAACGTGGATATCCATGTCTCTAAATTTATGGATGGTCATATCCCATATGAAAGGTCCTAGTTTAGTTTTGGTAATTAAGTGACAACTTAGGTGGACTAATATGAGCTTATGTTGAGATACGCAAATATTAGTCCACAAGTACACCGTGTAAGCAACACTTTAAAGCCACGATGGAGAGGGATTTTGGGTTGTTGCAAGTGCTCAACTAGCGTGTTGAAGGAACTTATTGCATATGAACCATAACATTATGTTATGTGGTTAGGTAGAGAAGATCAAGAGGCATAGCTTGGCTACAATGGACCGGGTTGCAAGCATGAAGATAAGCTAGAGGCTTAGGGTGCGATGGACCGTTGAGACAGTGAAACACGAGTAGAAAAGCTCAACGCCAATGGACCAAGGTAATGGTGAAGAACAATTGAAACTGCAACCGATGGACCAATAAGGTCATGTGATGACATGAAGTGGATGAGAGGATCTAGATGACAAGAGAAAGACAAATAACCTATAAAAAATTTTCTACAAAAGCACAACACTAGCACAAAGATGATTAGTACAATAAGTGATCCTAATAGCCTCTACTTGCTCTAGCTCCATACATGTACACTCGGTTGCTTTTACGTCACAAGTTTTGCTCCAGCTTCTTGATTGAGCTATTATTATAGCAAATACTTTTTAAATGTATATATGTGTGCGCGCTAAATTATTCAAATTCACTGCCCTACTTCCATATTCCAGATACTAAATCATCCTAAATTATAAGATGTTTTGGTTTTTCTAGATACATTATTTTCACGATGTATCTAGACATAATGTATATCTATGTGCATAGCAAATGCAACATATCTAGAAAAGCTAAAACGTCTTATAATTTAGAATGGATGAAGTACTTATGTATTGCAATCAAATGTTGCAATTATAGTCTATATTTAAAGTGACAATTGAAAGTGCATCTAGCCCTTTAGTGGGTTTTAGAGATTCAATGATAACGTGATTAAAGGTCTAACCCGTTTGCTAAGTGTGGACAGGTAATAGGTTATCTCACAGGTACTTAATGAAAGCCAAAATGATATGTTGTTGCATAAACAATCTAGTTCAAGCACAAGACAACAATGCAAATAGAATTCATGCAAAGACTTATTTATTGTGGGATTTCCATGTACTATGTGAAAGCAAGCTTGTAAGAATTAATTAATGAGACATAAGTGATTGTATATGGAATGGTCTCATATTTGAAGCTTGCTAAATTGAAATGAAAAAGATAACAATACATGAATGGATGATTCAACACAAGATATGACTTGATGGCTTAAGATTGTGAAGATAGATGTAACACCCCTGGTGTTAGTCTTGCCTAATTGCACTTGCATTTCATGAACGTGAGCATCATTCATCCATTCATGAGCATATATCATATGAAACATGTTATCGAAACATTGAAACGTACTGTATATTTCATGAGTGTTGTTTTTGTGAATTAAAGAGTGTGCAACACCCAAGTGCAACATGTGCAACTCACTTTAGTGGAACCTAGCTAGTTATTGTAATGCAACAAGATCCCGAAACATGTGAAACATGATTATGAAACAAAAGTATCATTTCAATTGTTTTTCATCGTTTTAGTGCATTCAAAGGCTTGATTATTGTATGACCAATGTGGGGTATGGCTAAATATATTGTTAAACATCCTAGCTATGCTTAGAAAGTCATTAGGAACAATGTTCATGTTGATCATTTTGTCTAATTAAGTTTCCAAGTCATGGGTTGACTTGTTTTGACCCTAGGACTCTTTGGTTTGACTGTTCAAAAAGTACCACTTAGAATGTTTGCATGTCTGAGCAACCTAAAACAAAGTTGTAGCAAATTATATAAGGAACAAAAGTTATTTTGTGACCAAGTCATGAAAATGTGCACAACATGCTCTAAATGGTCCCACAAGTCATAATTTGGGTTGGGTTCAACACTTAGAAATTTTCTAAGTATAAACTCCATTTTTCAGTTTCTTGAGCACGACTTTGGCATGATTTTACTCTCTGTCCTTTGCGAATTAGACATTGATCTCTAAAGGAGTTTTGTAGCTGGCATGTAGGTGTACAACTTTTGTTTTGATTTCTTTCGCTAACGATCAACGGATTAGGAGATAGAGCATCACCATTTGACGCTGTCAGTCGGTTCCTTGTTCTCTGAATCGCGCTACAGTGTTATGGATTCAGACCGTTCATGGCCGACCAAGGTCAGATGGCGGCCGTCGCGTGTCTGCCACGCGCTCGGCTCGCCCTGACCACGCAGTGCGCTGGCTGGCTTGAAGAGGAGCGTGCCCTGCTGCCCTCCGCACGCGCTCTGCCCTCATTCACCCTCCGTTGCCTTCCCCATTCATAGCCGCAGCGCACCGCCAACGCCATCAGCTCCGCCGAGCTCGCTCGAGCTCGCCGCGGTGCCACAGCCACCACCATCCAAACCGTAGCTCCGCTATCGCCTCGCGGACCTCATCAGCGCCCTCACGGAGCCAGCCAAGCTGTAGGTGAGCGACATTGCCGAACCTTGCACCACCGCGGCATGGCCGCCATGGTCGCCGCCGGTGATCTCACGCGGTCCCGCCTGACCGCTTCACCGTAGCCGTTAGCCGTAGCATAGGAAGGTCCGTCTTGTTCACCGAAAGCTTTCGCGTGCCTTGTATGGCCACCAACCGCCGGGGCTCGCTGGAGCACCGCCGTGCGCCACGGCCGAGCCGCCATGGGCCATGGCCGACATCCCTGGAGTCCACTAGAGTCTAGTTTTAGGAGTGCTATGGATGCGGGAGGCCGAGGTGGGCACGCCGTCGCCCTCGGTTCCACTAGAGAAATCGCCGCCGACGAGATGGCGTCGTTTCCGCGCCATTCGTCGCCGTGCTCCGCTTTTCGGTCGCTGACGCGCGGGCCCCTTTTGTCAGCCGCCGCTGCTGCGAGGGAACCAGAGCTGGGCTGCGCCGTTCTGGGCTGTGTGCGCGCGCAGTCGTGGGCCGCCTAATCCGATCGGGCTGGCCCAGTAGCTGATTAGGTTTTCCTTTTTGTTTTGTTTATTTTGTTTTTCACAGATTTGTGTGCACAATTTAAACATGTGTAAATCAAGTTTGGTAGATCCAAATGTTATGGTTCTAATTTTGTTGAGTTCCTGGTAATGTCTAGTATTTAATAAAAATATTAGATGAGCACAGGTTTTAGAAATTTTGGATGAATTAAATAGGACTTTGAAATGTGTTTTTAGATGCATGCAAACTTGTTGAAATTTTATCTTAAGTTTCTGTGGTCCAAAAATTATGAAATTTTGTGGGTATGCTAGTCTTACTTAGTAGAAGCTCTGGTTAAAATTTCAGAGCTAGTGCATGTGTGGTTTTTGAGTTATAGATTTTCCTTTTATCATTGATTAATATTTGTGTGAATTTTCATAATTTTTCTATAGATCCAGTAAAGTTAAAATTTGTTGAGTGCTATTCTTATGATCGAGTGATACTAGGAAAAATGAGAAATCTGTTGCTTGACACTTTTAACTAAGGTTTCCTATTTATGCCTTTTTAAGCACTTATGCCTTGTCATTTTGTGTAGACTATTTTACTTATCCAAGTGCCATGAAAATTTTATGGTAGTCTACTTAGAGTAGTACTATGCTACTGTAATTTTCTTAGATTTTATAAGCACAAAAATATAGGTTGCTGTTGTAGCCCTAGTTTAAAATGAAATAAAATAATCCTCTTAAATGCAAGTTAGTTAATAATGTTCGCTTTGGTGTATCTTTGAAGCATTTAATAAGATGTGTTGACTTAACATATTAGTAGTAGAAGAGAATGCAGTAGATAACATGTGCTTGTAGTATATTTTCTTGGATGATGTTGACTACCTTGCATTCAAACATATTCATTGTATTCATCTCATC